TGACAAGCAGCATGTGAAGATGCTGGTAAGCCACGAGCCACGTGGCAAGGTATAGATTTATAAAAATGGATTAATTTAAGATATAAGAACAGTTAGCAAGAAGTCTGCCACGGCCATACAGTTTGTAAGCAATATAAGTCTTTGTGTTTACTTGGTTGGGTCTGAGCGGCTGTGGGACTGGCGGGTGACAGATATTTGTCCTGACTGTGGGCCAGGCAAGAAAACTCTAGCTACAGTGTAATCTTGCAAATCTGTGCGGGCTTTTGGACTTTGGAAAGTACTGTCTTAAATAGATGCCAGGACTAAAATAAATGGAGACTTCAGATCAGTTGACACGTCCAGCCTTTCTTGATGTTAGAGAGATTACACCTCCACATTTTACCCTTGCAATATTTATCAGGAGGTAGTAGACGTCTGTAGTCATCCTCCATTGTCCTTAAGACCCCACTATATCATGCTAGCCACATCAGAACCATTTTTATTCTACATCATTTATATCTACCATATTTATTCTACATTAGCTGCCTAGTGCTTAGGTGCTTCTGACATTGTAACATATTGGGCAGTCTACACATTCACTGGCAGGTACATGTGTATGAATGGGTGTGTACCCCATCCTGAGTCAGTGAAGATTTAGCCCACATCAAAGGTGTTTGTTTGGTTATGACAGATACATCATTAGGTACCATTTTAGAGATGTCCCAAGAATGGAAGTTTATTCAAAACTTCTTGTCTGGGATGAGAGATCCATTCCCAGATGAGGCACTCAGAATTACTTGCAATGTGGTGGTTTTTCTAGTCACAAGGAACTGATTTCTCTCTTTAAGGGTTGATATGAAGCTGGGTGGTGGGGTGGTGCATGCTTTTAACCCCAGCACTCAGGAGGCAGAAGCAAGTTGATCTCTGTGAGTTCAAGGCTATCCTGGTCTAAATAGTGAGTTCCAGAACATCCAGAGCTACATAGTGAGACCCTGTCTTGAGGAAGGAAACAAAGAAACAGAACTGACATGAAACAAGAAGCCTGCCATCTGTTCACTATCCCAAGGTCTTCACAGAGCCTCAACAATTCAAACTGAAGCCACTTCTACCTTTCTGTGAAGGCAACAGAACATATCTGGTTAAAGATGTGGCACACACACACACACACATGCACACACATACACACACATACATACACACACACACACACACACAGAGAGAGAGAGAGAGAGAGAGAGAGAGAGAGAGAGAGAGAGAGAGAGGGGTGCATGTTTGTAGACAGATGTTCTTATAAAGATGAGTGTCTGTATGTGTGTAGATCTAGGTGTACAATTATATACTAACATACAAATGATTAGTTATTTTGATGGTTATACAAAAGTCATTGGAAGATGGTGGAAGTGAGTGGAAGCTTGTAAAATGGACAGAAAACTGTACCTGAGAATTTTTGTGGGGCCAAGAAGATGGACCACGGGGAAAAGACTTCAGCACACAAGCCCGGAGACCTGAGTTTGAGCTCCAGAATCCATGAAAAAAATGAGATGTGGTGGTGCTGATCACAGCACACCTACTGTGAGATGGGATTCAAGGACTCACCTAGAAGCTTGGGAGCCAGCCAGCCTGGAGGACACTGCACAGCAGCAGAAACAACCAGGAGACCTGGACTCAGACAAGATATGGAAGGTGAGAACCAACTCCCCAAAGGTGTTGACCTCTGAACTCCACATGTGTGTCATGACAAGTGCATGTTCTCTCTCTCTCTCTCTCTCTCTCTCTCTCTCTCTCTCTCTCTCTCTCTCTCTCTCTCTCACAAACACACACACACACACACACACACACACACACACACACACACACACACCACATACACATAAGTGAATAAATAAATAAGTAAAAAAATGAAAAGAACTCTTACGGGTGACAGCACCTGGCAACATGGGATAGAAATGGGAATGTCATGGATTTGAGTCACACAGCCTTTGATTCAAGTTTCAGCTCCTCCATATATGTGTTATGGTATGGGCTCAGGCAGGTTAACTGACCTCTAAGTTCTGCTTTTTCATTCTTTGAAATGATTATGAGCTTTTATCGATGAAAATGTGACTAAGAAGCACTGATTTAGGTGAGTACCAAGATGAACCTGCTGACCTGTGCTGGTCCTGTTCTGAATCCAGATGCCCACCACTGCCTCATGCTCCAAATGTGGTTTTCCAAAGGATCGCACAGATATCCTAGAAAAGCAGGGCCTGAAACTAGCAGGACCACACCCATTCCTTTCAGAAAGCTTGTCTAACTGATGTTCTTTCTGATAATGACTAGCCAGATGCCCTTGAATGCTGCAAGTCATGAGCCTAAATAAATAAAATGGAAATCAAAGAAAGTTGGCGTTACTGTGATGCAATAGTCCAGGGTTCAGGATCCGTGAGCTGCATGGTGGTCCAAGACCTTTGATACTCACAGGGGCCCGATACCTGTCCTGTCATCCTTGGTCTCAGATGAGAAGCACTTTGGCCTGGAGTCCCACCTTCAGAAGTGGCCTGTTGCCTGCTCTCCCTTGCTCAGCTCAGCCTCATCTCTCCCCACAGAGATCCTCCTCCTCCTGCTCCTCCTATTGTTGGAGATCCCTGGTAGAGCTCTGCCAGGGCTGTGGACTTTGGGACTGGACAGGTGATGAGAATCTGTTCTACTGACTCCTGTTCTACTACCACACTTGCTATCTCCAGTTGATTTTTTTCTACATGGTTCAGTCTGGCATATCTGATCAGGCTGTTAATCAAATAACCACAAGGGTTGGGACGCAACATTCTTGGCCACAGGCAAACTGGGAAACTGACCAGCTTCCCAGTGTAACCATCCTCAGATTCTCTCTGCATTCTTTCCTGCTCTTTGTCTCTTCATAGCCTCTTTCCCCTGCATCTTCAAGCTACCACGGTCTTGGGATCTACATCGGTACCCCCCTGCTGTACAGGAGGTCACCTCACCATTTCTCACCCTAATCTATAGAGACTCACCAGAAGTTTCCATGTCTCCTACTTGAACAACCAAAACATTGGGAGAAGTACTGCCCTTAGCCAGCTGCTGGGAGGAAGGCAACCTGGGCCAGCTGCATCCAGGAGTAAGACACTCACTGCAAAGGGCCCACTGGCTCTAAGCCTTAAGACAAGGAGTTTCATCCCCACTAGCCTTATGTAAAAACCATCAGCCACAGTATCAACTATTGGCTCCCCCTTCACTTTAGAAGAGTCTTCTTTGTTTCTTCCCACGCTGAGCTAAGCATCCTGAAAGCCAAGGCTGACTCTGGACAAGAGTAAGGAGATGTTTATGTGTGAGGAACTTCTTGTTTCAATTCCTGGATAGGTGGCTTTTGGTAAATCACTCAAACTTTCTGGCTTCCCACGGCCAACCTCTTGAAATGGCAAAATGTCCCTTTGTCTTGCCATGGTTGACAAGGTGGGGAGAGTAGATATGGAATGAATGTGTAACCTGGCTTTATGTGCCAAGGCTCAGCTACTGCTGTGTTGTTCTACCTCTGCTGAGAGAGAAGCCCTTCAGTGGCCGGTTCTCTCACCTGCTTCTCCTTCTTGTCCCCCTGTGATTTTGAGGGTAAAAGACAGAGAACACTTGCCCATGAATATACCACAATCATTATTCATAGTAGCAAGAGGTTGTTTATCAGTGGATAAGCAAGTTGTAATATGTTTAATAGAATGGATGTTTCTCCCACTAAAAGGGAAAGAAGTGAACTTTGAAAGCATTATGCTAAGTGAAAGAAGAAATGCATGGAGGTGGCAGCCTTTATGAAACTGTCTAGAACAGAAGAATCCACAGATAATCCAAGTAGATCAGGGGTTGGCTAGAGTATGGCAGGGGTTCTTCCGGGGGAGTTGGTGAGGACGGAAGGCGGAGAGGAAGCGAGTGATAATGGGAAGAGGTATCTTTAAAACTCTATACAGTAGATAAGATGGCCCTCTTTTGAGTTCCTTTCAATGTTCAGCTGTAACATATCAACACCAGCTAAGGGTTTATGTTTCTAGAGTTGGGGCAAGTTCCTCTGCATTTAGCTTCTGCAGTCAAGTCATAGGGCTGGCAGGATGTCATGCCATTATGCAACTCCAGGACAGCTGGGCCTCCAGAACACATCTTTACCATGAGTCTTTTATCTTAAAAAGATCAATGTTACCTTGGAAAGAATGTGGCTGGAAAGGCTGGGTGGAGGGAGGGGCCCCATCACTACAAACAGGAAATTTCACATCAAGAAGGTAGCATGGTATGCAGGTACCATCTTGAAGGGGTGAGCACAAGTCCCCAAGGTGTCCCTGGCCTCACCAATGCCACCAACAGGGAGCTGCATACTCAGTGTCAGACCTGCTTGCCCTCTGTTGACCCCTACATTGCTCAGCTCCACTCAGGCCTCTTTCTCAGCTCCCCAGAGGCGGTGGGAAAGAACTCTTGGCAAAGCAGACACAGCCAGGCTGGGAGCCTAGAGCTCCATGTGACCCCTGCCATGCTCAGAGCAGCTGCCCCCCATGGAGAATGGGCTATTGAGCACAGAGCTTTGCTCCGTGGTTAGAAAATCCCCACCAGGCAAAGCCAAGAAGACACCCCAACCCCCCACCCCCCACCCCCGTGCAGCATCATTAAATTATAACAAGCCCTAAAACTGGCTCCAGAAGCCTGGGTCTGCCTCTTCTCATGCTCTCAAGCTTGCGATTGGCTGATTAAGCTCAGCCTAGCAGGCCTTATCTCCTGCTGGTTATTATTTGATGAAAGAGCCTTCTCTTTCCTCCTCTGCCGTTGCAAAACCATCCTGGGAGTGTTTGCTGCTGCCTGCGGTGCTTTTCTGGGGCTACTGCAGTGCACCCAAAGACCTCCGGCCTCCAGTCACACAAATAGGCCCCTGGAGGAGCTTTTACATCACCCACGCTCGAGGCCGTCTTCTTCTGAAGCTGTCTGGGACAGCTTTGCTAGTCAACTGACTGGAAATAATTCCTCAGACACCTCATCAAGGATACAGGTACTTGAGCAACTGGGAACGTGGGGACCAATTTCTCAGGGTACAATGGCTTTAGATATGGGGATAGGTTGAGTCTGGGAAAGAAATGAAGTGGAACACAGAATGAGTAGATGAAGGTGGAGGAAGCAAGTCTAAGGAGAGAGAGCTGAGCATCATGGCACATTTCTGAAAAGTGACACTCTTGGGCAGAAGGTGTTTGCTGCCTGGGTCACATGCGGGGGTGTTTGTAATACAGCTGTTGCATGGGTTTGTTTGCACCCCAAGCAATTCTTCTTGAGGTCTGCATACTCTGTAGACATCTGCCATCTGTTACCCTGGCTCAGAGAAAAAAAAAATTGCTTTCACTTGAAACATAAATCTGATTTGCAAATGGGACACGACCTTCAAATGTGCGGTTGAGGGATAAGACTCCAAGTCCTTGTATCCGTATTCCGGCAAAATAGAAGAATAAAGGAGAAGCTCTGAGCCAAGCACTTCACGTCCAAGTTAGTTTCCCAGTTGGACTGAGATCTGTGTTGGACGTGCCGTAACTGTTCTGATGCCATCGCATTCTCAACACAAAGAGGTTTTCCGAGCTGGCATCTGGTAGAGAGCTCTGTGATGGACACTTCTACAGACGAGAGCTCGGCTCCAGGGTGGAGGAGAGCCAGTGAAAGGACATAATCGTTAGGTCAGACCTGGAGGTGGCTGAGGAGGAAAGGAGGTGGCATTAAAACAAAGCAAGCCATTTTGTTTTAGTGGTTGAGTGGGAAAGTATTCTTTCATGCTACTTTGGATTTTTTGTTTGTTTCTTTGAGACAGGGTCTTACTATGCATCCCCGGCTGGCCTCAGACTCACAGAGATCTGCTTGCCTGCCTCTCCCTCCCAAGTGCCGGGATTCAAAGCTTGTGTCACCATGCCCAGGTACTTTGGGTTCCTTAAGTCCCCCGTCCCGTGCACATCATAGGTTAGGGACTAACCATACAGATAGCCTTTCTTGGTCACCATCTTCATTCCCAGGTGTGCCTCTCCTGGTGTCGCAGTTCTCAAATGTTTGGATCTAGGTTGTCTCTACTTTGTTGTCTGTGGTGGAAGGAGAGGATAGCTCTGTTGCATATGCTTCTACACAGATGGAGGTCTCTCCTTGCTCTCTACTCTGTGGGTTTCCCAGGAGCTGCATTTGTGGGGGCCCCACTGGCCTTTTGGGAGCAACAGTCATAGGTCTGAGGAGCTTACCAGAGTGGCTCATGCTCTTCTTCATCACTTAAGGGGCATGACTGACAGGGGTGGAGGATAGGCCATGGCAGGGCTAACCTCCCTGCCTGATTCTTTTCTGCTGTTTGGGGAACATTTCCTCCTTCCTATGGCCTGGCTGACCTGGGTTCTGCTTGCTCTGCTGGCCGTCTCCTTCACTCTTCTTCTTCTCTGTCTTGCTAAAGGGACGGTACTTGAGCTCTGAGACCCTCCATACTCATACTACCTCACATTGAATACGTTCTGCTTAAAAGCACCCTCGCTCTGCCCCGATCCTGGGTCTGGTCAAGTTAATGCCTACTATGTCTGTTTCTGTCTGATGAGTGTGTCTACTCTCTCTGCAAGCAAGTCAGGAGTCGATGAACTTCCTGTCCTGGGCTACTCCAGGCTGTCTTGTGATTGCTGGTTTCTGATCTATTGCCAATGCCAGACCAACAGCTTCGGGCGGGCAGGGAGCAGGCTTAGCATGGCAGCCAGGCCCTGGAGCGGCACAGTTACTGACATGTAGTATTCTCACCCCTCACTGATGGAGAACCATCTTCTACCTGCTCAACACTCCTCCCAGTGCTTTTCATTGACCGACTCCATCTTCAGACCAAGCTGGGGAAGAAATGTGTCAACCCATTTCAGGGATAAGCAGACTGCAAGTCAAGGAACATGTATAAGTTTGTTCAGTAAACGGAGATTTCAGAGTCCTGTGTTTTCGCAGCACAGTGACAGGGTGGAGCAGAGAGAAGAAACAGCACATGAGTGACAGCTAATAGCAGGAGCATGGCAAGGGTCCCACATGCTCCGGAAGATGCTTTCATGCCTGTGAGCTGTGAGTGCTGACTCTGTGTCAGCTTGTGAGCCTGGCTGAGTGGACATGGTGGTTAAGTAGGTACAGACCTCCAAATGAAACCCTTTGAGGTCTAAGCTTCACCCTCTGTCAAGATCTGCTTCCCCCACTAGGCACCTCCTGCTTCCATAGACTGCCTGACCCTGCTCAGTTAATCTTACTAGAATCATAGTAGAGCACGTAAGGAAAAAGGTTTTGTTTTTTATATCTCTAACTGAATCCTATGTTTCTCCTTTGCATTTAAACCTTAGTTTCCCCATCTGTAAAATGGGTACAATATTTTGTTCATGAAATGACTTTGAGAAAAGAGATTATGTGATGGACTTACTGTGTTTTCAGCACAGGGAACAGAGCAGAGAGAAAAACCAGTTGCCCTCACAGCAGCTAAGGCTGAATGGGATATCAGACATTAAAAGCAGCATACAAACAGGCCGTTTGCAGCTGTGGAGAAGACAAAGGACTAGACTCAGAAGGGAGTGGGGGTCAGTCAAGACAGGGCTGTTTGGCAAACCACAGCATCTGCATGCCTCACTTGAGGGCGCATGCAGCAGTGGCCCTGCATGGGCCAAGGACCTGCTCACTTTGGGGCTCAGGGTCTGTGAACAAGAGGAGAAAGCTGGGCTGAGTGGTCTTTAAGACTGAGTTGCTCATGCTGACATCCCAGATGTTCTTGACCCATGTCCAAGCTCACGGCAAGAGAGAGCCATGTGACTCTTGTTCTGGAACATTTCTGTTCCATTTCTGCAATGAAGAGGCTGTTTCGGGAGGAGGGACTGATCACTTCATCTCCAGGAAGTCCCTTGCCAGCATTTACTTCCTGCTCCCCACTGGCAGTGACAACTACTTCCTCTTTACTCCGTCTCAGGAACTATGTCCCTCCCGTAGGTAGCATTCTGCCTCCCTGCGCACCAAATCCCACAGGTGCAGCCTGGTGATAAACCTACCCAGAGTGCTGTTCTCTGCTGGGGGAGTTCTGAGAACAGGGCCTTGGAGGTGAGCTGGGGGCTGAAGATCTGGAGATGGGCTCCTGGTCTCCTCCTTGATTGTCCCTGCGTGTTCCCAAAGCTGCCCACTGGGCCTGCTCTCGGAGTACCGTGTGCCTGCATCACCATCTTTGACGAACTCAGGCCAGGACACTAGAGACAGCATGTATAAAAGTTGGTTGGTATGTTTTCCAGACAAAGCCAGTGGCTAGGGAGGCCGTTGGAAGGGTAAGTGACAAAAGGAGACAGCTAGCCTCAGGCTCCTGAACAACAGTGAAGGAAGCCTCTTTAGCTTCCCCTACCTTTCCTTCTAGAGTCTGCCCCCTTGGTCTCTGGCAGCACACCTACTCGCTCCATCTCTCCCTTTCCTTACCTGGGACCTCGCTCCTGCCTTTAGCAGTCTGTGAATCAATCCTTACCCATTGCTCTGGACACAAGGTATAAAGGGACCTCCCAGAGGCCTGGATGTTTTAGCCAAAGATGCCTCAAGGAAACAATTCCTGGGAGGCTGAACCAGCACTGTATTTTAGGGCACAGAACACTCTGCACTTGTATTCTGGGTTTTAAAACTCCTCATTGGATGGGGCACTCTAGGATCAGATGTTGAGAAAGGAGCAAAGATGTTATGCAGAGAAACACTACACCAAGACCATTTCCAAAGGCAGTTCAGACAGCACATTATACTCCAAGGCAACCCCACGCCTCTCCCTCCACTCAGAAATGACAGTACCATTACAAGGCAGAGTCCACTGTCAACACTCAGTTCCCAGAACCTGATCACTCTACATCAGTGACATCCAGTTCTTTGGCTGCCGGCGGCATTTCAGGTGTGCAATAGGGTTCTGGGTGTCGTGCCGGGTGTGATAATGAAAGCACTCTGTCACCATCCCTAGTGCCTCAGCAGGAGCCCCTACCCATCCTGCTGTCTCACTGCACTTGGTAAGGAAGCTTTGCTTTGTCTGCACCCAAAATGGGGATGTAGCTGTGTATTGGACTTCAAGTGTCCTGCCACAAACCAAGGCAGTTAATCCTGCCCCCCAAAAAAAACAAAATAAAACAAACAGACAAAAAAAAAAACAACAAACCAAAAAAAACCTAACCAAGCTGAACAAAACAAACCACTACCACCAATCCCATACACTGCTCCACCTGAGTCTTGAAAGGCCAGGACATCCGTTTCCCTGTGAACCCTTAAGCTAGACTTCTCTGCAGAGGAGGGGTAGTTGCTATGGATGGAACTCTTGAGCACTGCTGGTAACACTGTGTATTTTGAATCAGTTCCAAAGAGCAACTTGGAAGAACTAGGGCCTGGGAAAATGGGAACTTTAGCCTGGACAACGGAAACCAGAGGACCAGGCAATAGCAGAAGACTGGCTCCCCCTCCCCTGGTAATGCCCTAACTGGACCTCCACAGTGACTTTCAGGGGGTGCTGTGATTTTGTTTACGAGCACCTTGCAGTGGTCTTAATCCCAGTGAACCCCCCTTAAGTCCCATGTAATTATCTTGTTCACTGATGCTTAGGGTGAGCCTGCTGAACAGGATAGGGGGACCCCCATACTAGGCAGCACAGCAGCCACCCTTAGATAACAGAAAATGTGCCATGGGTCTGCTAAGCATCACTCTGGGTCCTTAATACTTTGTTTCTTCAATACTCTATAGGTAGGCTAGTATCCCTGACCCACCTCTAATTAGTCCTGGAATTTAGCAACAAGGCAGAGTCAATCCCACTTAAGGAATTCACAGCCCAGAAGAGGGGACAGGTCATTAATAGGAACTGAATGTGACATTGCAATGTGCAAAATGTGACTGTGGTGTGGAGCAGGATGTTCACAGGGCAGCCCTGTCCCTCCTGAGACTCCTGCTCTGCTCTCTGCCTTTGTCCTGGTATATTTTCTGATTTAACCGAGCCGTTAAGCTTCTTCTCCAAGGATCTCTCCTGACTCCTCAGTACTCACAGAACCACATAGGCAGCAGATGACTTTTGCAGTGAAGTAATGATAAAAATTACAAGGTGTATGTGTGTGCTCGAGAGTGCGTGCAGGTGTACGTATGATGATGTGCATGTGTAGACCGGAGGACAACCTCAGATGTTGTCGCTCAGGCAGTATCCACCTGGTTTCTGAGATAGAGTCTCTCACTGGGACCTAGGCCTTGCCAATTAGGCAAGCCTGGCTGGGGAGTGCCCTCCAGGAATGTGCCTGTCTTTACCACCCTAGTGGCACCAAGTGTTCACCACCACACCCAGCTTTTGACTTGGGTGATGCCAACAGAACTCAGGTTCCCACATGAGGTGGCAAACACTCCACTGGACAGCTACCTCCCAGCCCCCAACTTCCCCTAATTGCAGGTTTTGATGTTTAGTTTAATACAATGGCTGTGTACAATTAAAAACCTAGTTCTGCTTTGTCTCTACGTCATGGTCTCTCAGCAAGTCTTGTCCAACAAACTACTTGCTTGTCACCAAGGCTAATACCAATGTCCAAAGCCAAGCAGAGCCCCTGGAGTGTATTTCACAGTGTCTGGGTTCCAGACTGGCTGAGTGGCAGGGACACTTCCTAAGATGCTCAACTTGCTGAGACAGTCAGACCCTTAAATAGAATCTACTGTGTTCTTAGTGCCCCGGGCTCCTGGATGTTTAATGCCTTGCGTATCTGCTTTCTGGGCCAAACTCATGAAATTCTAAAAGGGAATTATCCGTCTCAGACAGCAGTTACAATGGAAATAAAAGCCATCGGTACCCAGTGTTATCAGGCTGCTCAATTTTTCATTGGTATTTCAAGATAAAAGGAGTTGTGTTAACCCAAGTTGTCGCTTCCTCTTAGATGCTCTTAGAGACTGGTCTAGCTTGGCCTGCAGGCAGCTCCTCTGAGGCTGGGGAATCATGGGGCCATTAGATCTGCTCTGGGTATACAAGAGATCAGAAGACATCTGGCTATCTCCCTATTTTCAGTGTGGTCCAGAGCATTGGCAACCCCCTGCCACCAGTGCGTGGGGGAAAAGAGAAAACACCCACCAGACAACTCAAATTCTGATCATCGCAGTAGTAGTGTCCAAGTCATTGGGCCGCAGTTGCATGTTTCTGGGTTATGTATTGTTTAAAATAAGCGGGTCTCACCCAGTGTAGATGTTCATCTGTAAGGTGGGTTTGTTTAGCCATGTTCAACTGCATGGAAAAGGCTCACGCTTGGACCGAGAAGCTGCTTAGAGTCAGACTCGTGCATCATATCGATAGACGCTCTCTTCTCGCTGTCTGCCCACCTCTCTTCCTTGCGTGTACTGTAGCCAAAAAAAGAAAAGAAAAGAAAAAGAGTGTGGCCTGTTGCGGAGAATGCTAATACAACTGACTAATCTGTTTTAGAGACAGAGACAACTTCTTTCTGGAAGTTTCTACCTTAATCTATGTGACCCTTGACTGCTACTATTTTTAACTTGCCCGTTTAGCTATTAAAAGTTTTCTCTGGCTTCATTGCTGTGACTAATCAGCAACCTAAGCATAGGGAGGGGTGGAGCGTGGGGAGCAAGAAGCAGCAACAGCCCTCAGGTGAGTGTGGGTGTGGGGTTGCTGCTTGGTCTTGAGCTGCTGTCTTCTGGAACCTTCCTTGGGTGCTTATTCCAGAGCTGTCCAGACTGGTGAACAACAGGCCTTGTCCACTTGAACTCACATAAGGTGGTTGACTTCCCTGGGCTCCTTTCCTAGACAGCTTTCCCCACTGCGTGCCTCTCTGTGGCAGTCGTCTGATGGCTGTTCAGCAGCTGGAGGGTGTATGCCTAGAGTACGGTGGCAGGCATCAGTGGTGTTCCCATCAGCCAGGTGTGTGGCCGGAGCAAGGGTCTTTTATTTTATTTCTTTTTGTAGTTAAGAAATTCTAGCATCTTTATTCTTTGAAAACTTCACACGTCTATGCAATGTATCTTGATCATACTCACCCCTACTCCTTCCTTCTGATATTCTCTGCCTCTGCTCCCCTCAACACAACTATTTCCCTACCAACTGCATGTCTTTTCAAAATAATTTATAAGCCACTGAGTCCTGTTAGTGTCACCCATATGTCGGTGGGTGTGGGGTCATCTTCTGGGAACCTACACAAAGAAAAGTCATTCGCCCGCCCCCTCCCCCAGAGTCAGCAGCTGCCAGTAGCTCCCCAGCAAAGGGTAAGGCCTTGGAGCTCCTCCTGGCTAAGTGCTGGAATTCTATTTTAATTAACCAATTAATTCGAGACAGGGTCTCATTATGCATCTTTGGTTGGCCTCACAGAGATCTGCTTTCCTCTGCCTTCTGAGTGTTGGGATTAAAGGAGTGCTCCATCACACCTGGCTCCTGCTGGAAGCTTTTAACTGGCTTCATCTTGTGCAAGTAACCTCAGCTGCATGTGTACAACAGCATGCCATGTCCAGAGGACATTTCACAACACTTCTCCATATCTTCCTGCTCTTAGCATGCCCCCTTCCTTGAGCCTTGTGTGTGAAGGAGTGTATTTCCAGATTGTTGACCAGGGCCTTCCTTGAAGGAGTTGTTTTTTCTTTTGAGGAAGATTCTCTGATGCACAGACTTGCAGAAGTCATTGCTCACTGCTCATTATGCTCACCGCTTGCTTATGCATGCAAATGACAAGGGACCAAGAGCAAGGGTACTCCTTCTATGGGTGCTGCTAGATCTCTTCTTCCTCCTGGGGCACCAACTGCTCCCACCCCCTCTGAATTCTACGTGTAACCAAGGCAGAGGCTGTGCCTCACAGCATGGTGGCCGCTGTGTCAGAGCTGGGGAAAGCTCATTGGTGACTGGAACCCTGCTTTGGGGAGTGACATGGTGACCGAGTAAGAAGGACTTCAGGGTGAGGAAATGGGAGCCTGTGTTTTCCTCTCCATTGAGGTATCTGGAGACCTTCTAGAGAAAGCAGTTCTTGACGAAATTAGCTCTCATTCCAACCCCGGTCTGGCCAACTGCTACTCAGCTCATCTTGGGGAACTCAGGTCTCCTTCCAGAGTCTCAACTGTCTGTCGGAACTGAGTTCATGGTAGGGTCCATCCTTGCTTGGAAAATTGTGAAATAATATTACCTATAGAGAGCACACAGTTGATACCATGGTCCTGTTGGTATCAAGTACTGAATAGAAATCCACTGTCAATAATCTGTACTACTTTAGTTTATTTTTATACAATATATTCTGACCATGTTTTCCCCATTTCCCAACTCCTCCCAGATCCTCTCCACCTTTTCACCTCCCTACCCATCCAACTCCACATCCTTAATGTGGTGGTTTGAATGGGAATGGCCCCCATGGACTTGTGTTTGAATACTTGGTCCCATTTGGTAGAACTTTTTAAGGAAGGATTATGAGGTGTGGCCTTGTTGGAGGAGGTGTATCACTGGGGGCAGGCTTTGAGATTTCAGGAAATTTTTGTGATTCCCAGTCATCTCTTTTGCCTCATGGTTGAGGGCCAAGATGTAAGCTCTCAGCTGTTCCTTTGTTCCATCATCATAGACTTGAAGCCTCTGCAACCGTAAACCAGATTAAATGCGTTCTTGTATAAGTTGCACTGGCCGTGGTATTTTATCACAGGGATAGAAAAGTAACTAGAACACTTGAGTAGCGACTACCTGCAGTACAAAGAAATGGCAAACACAGTTAAAGCGCAGGAGTTGGTGGGGGAAAGGCAAGAGGCGGACTCGTTACCCATAAGAAAAGCAGTTTGGATAGAGGCCAGTTGGGGAGGGTTTCCCAGGCACCGAGTGCTGATTAACAACGGAGCTGGCATCTCTTGCAGACACTGGTTCCCTCTTGCTGAGGCTGCTTTCTTGTTCAAACACTGAAAGCCCATTTTTAGAAAACTGTACAAAAGTTGAAGAAAATGAAACTAAGACCCGTGTGTAGTTTATGGAAAGCTTGCTTCATAGCTGTTGCTAGTGGGATAACTTCTTCCGGGTCAGGAAAATGATTGCTTCCCCTACTGTGTCTCTAATTACACAAGGTTACCCTGGGGAGGGGTTCTAATTCTCCACACCCACACATATGAACATCACACATGTGTGCCACGCAGATGTGCCACACATATAACTACACATACCATACACATATCACACTACATTACAGATACATACTATATGCCTAATACACATATAGACTACACATACCATGTGAAAGCCACACAAGCCATACATATCACATATACATACTACATATACCATATACACATCACTTATACACACCATATACCACATACATACCACACATGCACACCATACTTATACATCATACATATCATATGTACAGTATGTACACACTACACATACCACATACATACTACACATACATACCATACACATCACACATACCACATATCACCTACACACCACACATTCATGTCATATACACACCATACATATATATAGATATATATATATATATATATATATATATTACACATACCATATACACACATTGTACACACCACCATACAAATCCATGTACATAGCTATGGTGATATATTGTGTCCCCCAATATGTTGTGCACCCCAATAAAGCTTATCTGGGGATCAGAGGAAAAAGCCAACCACTATACTAAACATAGAAGACAGGCAATGGTAGCACACACCTTTAATCCCAGCATTTGAGAGTCAGAGATTCATCTGGATCTCTGTGAGTTCAAGGCCACACTGGGAACAGAGCCAGGTGTGGTGACACATGCCTTTAATCCCAGAACTAACCATAGAGGTCTGGAGGTCTGTACAGACAGACAGGAAGTGATGTAGCTGGGTGGAGAGAGGAAGAGAGATTCGGAACAGAAAGGCAAATAAGCGTGGGTATACAGGAAGTAGGTCTCTTTGGCTGAGGATTTCCAAGTGGTAAGAACGTGGCTGGCTTTTTCCTCTGATCCTCAGAAAAGCTTTACTGGGGTGCACACTATATTGGTGGACACAAAATATCACCACACATAGCACACATGTACACTACACACATACCACAGATGCATCCCACACATTTCACACACATGTAGACCACATACACACATACCCCACACATATCACACAGACCACACACACACACACACACACACACACACACACACACACACACACACACACATATACACATATATTACACAAATATGCAATTCTTCCCCAGCACCTCCCTTTCTGCATGCCACATATACTTCATACAGACATGTGCATGCACACGCTCAATCTCATACATCAATGCATTGTCTCTCAAAGCAGAGCGCCCAAGGAAGACAGGCCCTTTAAAATCCAGACTGCAGCTGTGTTGTGTATGCATAGCCAGCATTATAAAAAACACATCCTTTGTCCCTGGCTCTCACCGTCTCAAAGTTCAACACGGATCCAAGGGACTGGCAAACTGGTCTCTCACTGTAATGCTGATACTCAGGGTTGAGAGCCAAACAACTCAACACACACAACACTCAATGAGATGGCAAGAGATCCCTCTGGGCTGGCTCAGAGCTGTGGGCCTCGCTCTGCCTGTGATCCATCACCCCTAAGTCTGCTTGCTGGGAAAAGACCAGAATGTTTCCTTGTCTCAGGCTCAGTTGAGAGAGGCAGCACTTAGCGTGATTACTTTGTGTAGTCCTTCCTTCAGTGGGACTTCTGGTGTAGATGTGTATGCAGGTGTTTGAGGGTGTTGGCCTGTGAAATCACGTCTAATTACAGTAAGAATGAAACCTTGGCCAAAGGAAGTAAATGAGTTAATCTCCACTGTGATCCTAAAGGAAGGTTACACTATAGTAAGGACCACAGCCAAGAACGGTCAAGTGTTGGGCACAGCCCTGAGTCCTGTCAGAATCCTGCCTTCCATTTAACCTTCCCAACTGACCATTTACCTGCCTGCTGTCTTCCTTGTTTGAAGAGACTCACCTTGCATAGATCACATGCTTAATGCTTTTCTTATACTCTCTCTCTCTCTCTCTCTCTCTCTCTCTCTCTCTCTCTCTCTCTCTCTCTCTCTCGTGTGTGTGTGTGTGTGTGTGTGTGTGTGTGTGTGTGTGTGTGTGTGTATGATCATGTGTGTGCAGGAGCATGTGCATAGCTGAGTGGAAGCTGAACGTTGAGGTCAGGTGTTTTCCTCTACTGTTCTTCACCTTGATGAATGAGACATGGTTCTCTCACTAAACTTGAGCTCACCAATTCAGCTAGACTGGCCGACTGGCACACCCCAGGAATCCTCTCTCCACCTTCCCAACCCTGGGATTGCAGGTGTGTGCTACTGTGCCTCGCTTTTTATGTGCATACTGGGACTGAACTCAGGTTGTCATGTCTGTGTG